GAAATCTTTCTCGTAAGTAAAACGTATGTATTTGAAGGACCTCTAAGCACCGAAGTTCGTAATGGTCGTTAGGTGTTAAGAACGAGTATCCTCGCGACACTAATTACCGACGTGAACGATGTTACCTCCTTGCAAGCCAACACATTTTTTTTTTCTTGTTCTCAAAAAAGTATGAAAAGGGTTCCGCTGACACGTCAAACTATGGCACAGTATGTGGCAAAGGCAGAGTGTTTTGTATTAATGCATGATGAAATAGAGTAAGTTGAAAGATTCGTGTATAAATAATAATATAAATGCATTATTCTCGAATATTACACAATTTTATAGACAGTATCTCCGTTACTTTGACTTCCATAGCTGCAAATACTAACCACTGTTAACGTATATTTCGCATCACTCACATATATCCATCAAAATGATGCTTATATTTTATAATTGTAGAACATCTCTTAATAGAAACGTGCTTACTATCAATCCACCGCCACAATTCTGAATGTTCCATATATTATAAAAATCTTTAGCGATGTCCTTGTATTGAGATAATGTTGGCTCGCTTACATAAACTGGGGAAAGTAGCCGAAAGATTGCATCACACTTCTCTAATATGGTTTCGCGTACTGCTGCCTTCCGTAATTTATAACTCTACGCAATACTCTGCACCGATACGCCTTGTGACAAATAGCTAACAATTATAATAAAAGCATAGTTATCAATCAACTTACAGTAATGCCAACTATAGACTTTCCTCGGGACCAATTCGCTGCTTTTGCTTTTTCCATACATAGTTCAGAAGCAATTTATACAGACCTGGTGGCATCCTGGCTTCCTTGTATGCAAAACAAGTTGTTTCATTACCAAAACGGTTTTTAACTGGTAACCAGAACATCCTCTGTTTTTTTTTATTGTTTTGGCGAATTGTATATCTTTTCTTCCTTTTTTGTTTTTATTCTTTTTATATAATGTGTACAATTCGAACTTAAAAACATTTCATCAATATTGTCCACTTCCATACTGCTGCCGATTCCATTTTAAAAGTTGTATGAAATGTGAAATGTAAAGAAAATAGAACAGCTGATTTCTACGTTGCCCCTACGAGCTCAACTTTTGACAAATTTTGTTCGCTACGGGCGGCAAATACGGAAAGGCGGCACGTCATTAACTAAATGAAGCAAAACTTAATGACTTATACCAGTGTGACGCTTTCAAAAAAAATTTTTATTTGCTTTTTCGATAGCTAATATTTCCATAAATACCCTGTGAAGTTGGGGAGGTCGTATCTTGAATAGTTTTTGGATGGCAGCGTTCTAAAGAGCGATCGCTCGGAGGTGCAAACATATGTATGTATATAAGTGAAACTTTAAACGCGTTTTTTCGAAACGACATTTTTCAAAATTGCTGGCGTCATAACTCAACGAGAATTTAACCGATCGACTTCAAATTAAAACTGAGTATTTTTGACTACATTTGCTGTACAATGACCTACGATCTTTTTTCAATTTGGCATTAAAAAAACGACAACTTTTTTACCTAACAAAACGATTTTTTTTTTTCAAAATTACGTAATTTTGTTAATTTTTAAATATTTTTCAAAGATCGTAGGTCAATGTTTTTGTTTCAGCTACTCATTCGGCCGGAATCATGTCAGCAGATGGGCACTTTTTTTGGCACCTCCGAAGAGAGCCCATAACTCCGTTATTTTTCAATATTTTTGTAAAAATAAATCTTAAAATATAGCTGAAAATATACAATATTACGTTCAAAGGCGTTTGAAATATTCAGTCGCGTACTTTCTCTTAAAAAAATTCAGGAAAATCGCTTCATTTTTCATGCGTCACACTGGTATAGCCCCTTAAAGGTCATGGAGTTATACATATTATATGTATATAACTACATTGATTCTCGATTTATATTTTGTATAATGACATCAGACAGAATTTAAAATTGTTATTGTATGTATATTTGGAAACTATATGGCTCATTATCATAATTCACCATAACAATGCTGAGATGATATTATCCACAAAATTTGAGTCAAATTAGTCCAGTCGTTGCTGGGGTTTAAGTGGGCATTGCCACGCCCATTGTTCAATTTTGACTCCGTCTTCTATGAAGCTAGTTTATGTCGTGTGGGATGTGAAATGAAATAACGCTAGTTTTGCAGAAAATATTTGAAGAATAACAACTCTTCCACCTGTTGCTCTAGCTTCGGATGTGTTGTGTTAAGTCCTTCCACACCTTAAATATGTATATATGTACATACATATATATTGATTCAAACTGGGTAGTCGTAATGTCTTCCCCAATTTAAACTTGTTTTTTAGCACTCTGTAAATGTGCGTTATTGAACTGAACAGGGTATATTAAGTTTCTCATGAAGTTTTTAACACCCAGAACGAAACGGCGAAGACCCTCTTATGTTCAAATAAAAAATTAAATAACTGATCAACCTGACGATCTGAGTCGATTCAGGCATGTCCGCCTGTTTATATTTGTTTATATTAGTTCGCTCCTCAATTTTTGAAATAACGATATAAAATTTTGAACACGGGTTTTTCTCCTCTAGATGCTGTCCATTTGTCGGAACAGCTGATATCGCACCTCTATAGGATATATCTGGCACACAAACTGATCGAACAAAATTAAGAAGCCATTGTAAGGAGAGCTTTTTTATTTACAAGATATCGTCACGTAATTCAACAAGACAAGACCATATAATATCTCAACAAATTGTTCAAATCGGACCATTTCACTTTTTTACTTATGGGTTCTTAAAGGCAAAATTGTCTACTACTAATACTCTGTAGTCAATTGAATATACGAAATCCGACTGCGTTTTTAATCAAAAGTGGGGGAAATCGTGAACTAGAGTAGTTAATTAAGATCATCCAATCGCAACTATCATCTGCGAGCGCTTTATTGGATTCGATGACATGTGTTCAAAGGTAAACACCTATCTCTCCAACCTTTCTTGCTGCTCATCAGCAGGGAAGTTAACACTTTCCCTCACTAAATCCACAGCGACACATTTATAAACTGGATGGAGTACAGACTTGACCTTAATATTGCACTCGATGGAGTCAAAATTCCGACTCTCAATAATCCAAAAATCTCAGGTGTAACTTTTGATAGTATATGATAGTCATACGACGACGAGGCGATTGTCGCCAAAGTACACACCGCAACAAAATCCTCATTTTTTCACAGAAATCATCCCTGCAGTCACCTGCTTGGAGCGGAACCGCCTAGTAGGAATATCAAGACGTCATTCCTCAATTACGTCGACGACATTAAACAACGCAACGACCAGACTTCGAACGCAACAAACTTCCGACTAGCACCGACCGCCATTCACAGTGTAGCCATCAACTCCTTCACCGACTCCCGTACAGTGAATGGCGTACTCGGAGTCAAACTACCACCCATTACCGACGAAGATCTCGAGTTGCCGTGAGAAACAAGAATGATCCCTGCGCACCTTCATTCCGGATACTATAGCAGGTTAAACTTCTCCATATTCAGAATAGACCTCGACATATCCAATATATGGCCACCTACCTCTTTGCATGCCCCAGCCACTCCACTCATCTGAAGGGACCCCATCGAAACACGTTTCTTGGGCCTCCTTCGATGACGTCGACGACAACTTAGCGAATCCTTACCATCCAACATCCAAATGGGGACAAGTATACGCTAAAACAACAACTACAACCGCTTTGCCGATCACTTCCGTCTACGAAAAGTTGCGGCGACTAACAGAAGGGTTCAAGACCGGAGCATATTCTTGTAATAGTGGCTGACGTTCAGAGCATACCGAAATTATGGAGGGAACACTTCCTAACACTTCCTTCTGAAAGATTTCCCGATTCCCCAATCGATGACGATGGAATAGATCTTCCATTTCCCCCGACTTTATTGAGGTTCGCACAGCAATTACTCGCAGGTGCCGATGGATTACCAGACAAGGTGCATCCATCAGCTTCTTTACAAAATATGAAATCTAAGTGAGCTCTGTTCAATTCAAAAAAGAATACCCCACCACGAAAACCTTAAAGGCTGAAGCCCATCGTCAACAAACCTTGTACTTCATCAGTCCATGGACACACCACATCTTCGTCGATTTTAGAGCCTTCTTCGACAGTACGAAAATGAACTGCCTCTATGCCACTATCTGAACTTGGTATATCTGCAAATACTACGTTCGATACTAGGCGCAGTTTCAGACAAGGAGACTCCTTATTGTATGACTTCTTCCTATTTCGACTACCAGCTGCAGAGCTAAATAAAAATAGAAATTCTATAAGAGTGTACCGCTGATGGCGTACGTCGATGATATTTATATCAATGGCCTCAACAATCTCTCCCGTTATCAAACAAACAGTCGTCGTAATCGCACTTGACAGTCATAACTTCCGAGGCCGTAGATAATTTCGTATACCTTGGAAATAGTATTAACACCAACGTCAGCTCTGGCCAGTTAGCTCAGTTTCGTTTGCTGCTATACTACAAGTCTTATTTAGTAATGAAAGCCCTCTCCAATTTCCCTTAGAAAAAATAACCACGTTTTCCGGGTATTTAAAATGTATGCAGAGAAGTAAGAAAGTATATTTTACATTTTATTTGTAGTGCACTCGGAATAATACAATAAAACTTCTTTGAAGAAATGAAATTACGGCACAGCGCAATTTAAAAAGCCAACGGAAAGTTACACAGCTTTATATACCATATTATTAATAATTGCGATGTGAATATGTTAATCAAGCATTCGTTAATAATATATAATATTTTCTAAGGTTATGAAATGAAATATATGATTTGTAAGAAAACTCAAATAATTGTAGAATTGCTGGGAACAGTTCACACAAGATACTTTTAAGAGTCTTTAAACACAATACTAAAAAATTGAGAAATAGTAACTAAATAAAAAGAAAAAAAAAATATGGCAATGTAAATAATGAAGTAAGAGTAATGAAAATGTTATTTGGCCTTATGTTCTCTAATAGTTCAAAACATGGTGTTACATGCGCGTTGCCTATATTTTCTTCCAAGTTTTTATATAATATTTGTTTAATACAACTTTAGATTAATTTGGCAATGCTAACACCTGATAGGCCCATATATATACAGCGCACATTTACCTATCATATAATGCATCTCTAGAGTAATTCTTTAATTAAAATGGTAGATATCCTTATATTTTCTGTATATTTCCATTCCACTTGTCTTTCAACTAATTTGTCGTTCCGAGTTTTAATTTTCATATCAAGTGAACTAAAGCTATACTTATCTTATACACATTGGTGTCAAGGAATTTTGTTGACTTTAATTTTTGTGATAGTAGAGTTGTGTTAAGATTTTTATTGATACTAAATTTTCAGTATCTCCTACCATATTTAAGTGTTAAGGATACTAGGATGGATCGTCAAGTATTCAATATAAATAAATATGTATGCATGTGTATATGCATAAAACTTAAGGCGTGTCAAACACCTGCATTGTGTCATTTAGCATTATTCACCACCATGGGTCCAAAGATGTTGTGCGTCTAAATGAATTATCATTTAGATTGCACTGGCCTTGGCGAAATCTTGTTCGTTGATGTTTAGAGCGAATTTCTTGGCTGGTGGTTGCATATCATTTTGATCAGCATCTAAGTCAATCTAGAAAAATATAATGAAAAATAAAAAATTAAAAATAATTTTCAGTATGCATATTATTGAAGCTCACCTCCATTATAACGTTATCCTTCTGTAAATTAGCATTGCTATTATTAAGCTTGGATTCGTCTTTGGTAGACTTTGTTACGGTTGCTTCACTTGAGGTTGTGTTATCCGATTCATCGGCAATAACAGACGAAATGGCACTAACGCCAGTGGCTGTTGCATTTGCCGCAGACGGCTCTCTTTTCTTTGATTCGTCTTTTTTATTGTTGGAGTTAATTGTTTCACTTGCAGTTGCAGAAGCAGTGGCAGTAGCTGCTGCTTCTTCTTTCTCTGCTTCATACTTTTTTAGTTCTTGGTCTAAATTGTAACGCCGACGATTGCTTACGAAAAAGGTACGCACGTGAGCTTCAGTCTTCGTGCCAATAGTTTCAGCTATTGTCTGTAAGTGATGTTTTTAAGTAAATTCCAATTTAGTAACAACACATTATATTATAGTGTGGAAGTACCTGAAAGTCTTTGCCATATTTACGCACACCTTGTACGACGAGCAGAGCCTCATCATTGGACCATCTTGAATTGATTCGATTCGTGTTCTCAGCTGGGCGCATATCGTCTATTCCCTCTGAATTCTTACGTTTCAGCGCGGAAATATTCTGTTTGTTTAGCTGAACCTGAAAGCCATTGAATATAAAATTAAGGGATTGCAACACATATCTTAGACACATTGCGGCCAATGAGTGAAGTTGAATGATGAATGATGAGATGAATCTGGCTATGCGTCCACATGTGATCTATGCTGAATGAATTTGAATATATGAACCTACATCTCCCTGTTTTATAGACCTGAAAGCTCACCCTGAATTTGAGTTGCAGCATCCTATGTGACGAAATATTCACACGTTAACTGAAAATTTAATTATTTCTAATATTGTGTTGCGCATAGTTATCAAATGACGCTATACGACTTTTTGTTCCTTGGCTTGACAATCTTCAAAAATCTATTCACAACTATAAAATCAGTTAGCTTGGAAAACAATAAAAGAAAAAAGTCGGGTCTACGTTTTGGAACGGGCTCGCATCTTCTGTAAACTCGTAATCGAGGACTATGTTCTCTTGCTACTACAAAAACAACAGTTAGCATACTATGCTCTAGTGTAGTACACAAGGTTTACTTGAGATTACGATTAGAATAATAGTGGTGGCATAACTAAAAATTCGTGGGTTTTAACTATTAGCAACACGAAAAAGTGGTGAATATATTTGAATGTATGCATGAAGAATGTGGTTTTATAAGCAATAGTATTCAAATTCCGATTTCTTACTTGGCTCAATAGCGAAACGATTTCCCTGTCTGTGTTAGCGAGCAGTTCGTCTTGATTGTCATTGGCTCTGGCCAGCGCCACAATATCGTCGTGATTGATGTACATGCCACGAGGTGGTTTACGTTTATGTCTTTCAGCATTGCGATCGCGCGACCGCTTACCAAAATATGGACCGGAAGTGGGACGCTTATTACCGGTACGTCTACAGCACACCATTGGGTTTCGGTTTTTTGTTTTATTTGGCACGCAACAACGATGACATACAATGATAAAGAAGGAATTTAACACGTTTTAAATTCAAGAGCGTAATTGTTATTGTTTTATATATGTATATGTACCTCCAATGGTGGTGGCAACTTGAACATAGTTTACCGTGTGGCGATGCATTAAGCACACTACATGGAACTCCACAATTGGTGCAACAACCGCTCAAACCTGCTGAGTCTGCATTGGAACATGACGAATCGGTATTCGCCGTATTGGGCGGCGTTTGTTGGCGTTGATGTTTGATACCAACTGCCAGAGCACCAATATTGGCAACTAGACCACTGTCTCGTCCTTGGGCGATCATATTTAACGAAACAGAAGCCGCTGTGTTCTCACTGTCGGCGTCGCCACCGCCAATGCTGCTACCAGAAACACCACCGTTTTCGCTTAATTTATTTAATTTGTTCGGTAAATCGGCAGAAGTGGCACAGCCTATTTTCATTTGATCTTGAAACCCGGAAGTTGTAGCCAATGCTTGATCCTAAAGGCAATTTTAGGTAATTTGTTGAAATGTTGTTGGTAGGTATTGTGTGTCACGAGTGTGCGTGTTGCGATAAAGGAAAGAGAGAGAGAGAGAGAGAGAGAGAGAGATAAAGAGAACGACCGGTTAACTTTGGCATAATTTAAATTTAACTAGTATTTGCAAGAAATATAAAGCTACTAAGGTCATAAAGAAGTTATCAAACAAAATTATTGCATGTGTCCGAAAACAAAAGGCCAGCACAAAGGGCATGGCTAAATTATGGCAGGCCACGAGCAACAACAATCAGACAAGGACTCGACGCGGCATCGATATACATACATACATTTGCATAGATCTGATCTAAACACAGCGAAACAAATTCTCTATCACATTTTGGGCATTCGAATCTTATTGATACATGTAATAAAAAAAAAAATGCAAGAATGGCGAAATAGATTTTCGAAAGAAACAAGTTTCAATAAAAGTAAATGTAAAATGTAATGGAATGATACATAATGATTAATATGGGAATGAAAATGGTCAGTCAAAAGTATAAATATTATTATAAAGAATAGACTTGCATTAAATATGATTTTTGAATATAATGAGTTAATTTTTTGCTAACTTCAAATTTTAAGCACGAACGAAAAATGAGTTGTATGTCTCATAGTACATTAAGTTAAATATTGGGTATGCAAGAATCAAAATCAGTTCTTTCAAATAAACCTTACTCATTCATAGATATGTAGTTCACGTGCCTGATAAGCGTTAAATTATTTCAAAACCTGCATTGGATATCTATTCATAAGCAAACTAGTGAATTAATTTGAACTCTTAATTATAAACCATACTTTCGCGGTAAAGTTATGCTGTCCAACTTAAAAAAAAAAATACATTAAAATTATAAGGCAAGCAATACAATGTAAACGTATGTACTATAAAGATATTAACGAAAATATTTGAAAATGAAAGAAACACATGAATTTTGTTTAATCTTCTCGCAGACAATAAACGATTTATTGATAATTATTTATGCACTATGTATATATGTATACTATTCTATCATTTACTGTTAGTAGAAGTTCTATAAACAGTCTTTCATTATGGATAAGGTCTTACAATCTAAAATTAACTAACAATAAATACATACAATTAAGTAAAGTGTACTATGCGAGATAAATCTAGCATAAAATTTTGGATGCGATGAGTTGAGGGCTTAGACCATTTACTTGAGTGGGGAATACACCTGGTCTTCATAATGCCTGTTTCAAAATTGCTACTAATAATATATCTGAATGTATTTTTCGATACAATGTGGTGGTCGAAACGTAATTTGCTTTGAACATGAATAAATAATTTTTATGACTTGTGTACGAGTATATTTAGGTAATATGTTGACGAGTTGAATTTTTTGATTTGGAAAAATGTTAACATCAGCTGCCTTGAGCTCCCTGAATTAATCTGCTTATGTGGTACTATGAATTGATTGCCTCTATTTAAAAACAAAATCAGTGATACTTTGTGGTAGTTATATAAATACAGTTATAAATAAATGTTAGTGTAAAACATAATTTTAAAACGAAATAAAAATTTAATATCTAACTAAATACAACTAACATTTGTATATATTGTTTTATTTTTATTTACTAAATATAAAAATTTGCATTTATTGTTAAACCACTGTAAAACTAGAGAAACCAATTTCAATTTGAATCTGACTCATGCCTTAAATACGAATATTTTTAACTAATAATTACCTTGTCATCTGTATCAGATTCTTCATTGCTGCCATTCTCACTACCGTTCTCTGAACCTTCTTTACTTGCTTTTGCTTTCTCTTGACGATCCATAACGCTTTGTCTGTGGCGCGTCTTCTTCCACGAGTAATAATATTTCACCAAACTAGCTATTGATTTGTCGGGTAACTGCAATCGATATATTTGGAACATGTATAATTGAAGCATTACGCTCCAGAATAGATTTGCTGGCCAGATATTAAAATTACCATTTGACGAATGCGATGAAAGCTTTTGCCGTGAAATTGAAAAGCCTGTTCGAATAACACTTTGTCTTCTACTGTCCACTCATCGGGAAAAGGTGTGAAGTTAGCTAAATCCATTACGGCACGTTCCAAATCATGTTTGTGCCAGAATAGCATACCCAATGCCTGTTCGCCATTATAACCGTATTTTTCTTTAGCTACTGATATATATTCTTCAACTGAAATATACATTACCAAATTTTACTTTATTTTCTTACACTTTATCTACTTATATATTATATAACTATGGTACTTTCAGATATTCGAATTTTCGATAATAAAAACTACTCATTACAACTTTCCCACATAAAAAGAACTACCATTTTTCAACAATAAGTAAAAGTACCAAATTATTGTAATTAAAGTATGTCATTTCACCGAAAAATAAATTAATTAAATACATACATAACTAAAGTTTTTGAATGTTGAACCTGAATCTTTTCATTTAGATTTAGTTAATACTATATATTAAAATATACATGTTATTTTATAACAATATCATACTCACGTTTTGCATCTGGTATCTCTCTAGTGGGCGACCATACCAGAAGCGCTCGATCATTTAAGCCCTCTGGTTTACGGTCATTTTCAGGTATTAACGGTGGACATACTGCCTGGTAGTCACGACCAACACGAATTTTCTCTGAAATTATTATTATATATTTTTAATTATAAATAATCCCACGCCTATATATTTTTTATCTTACCTTCATATTCACTCTGTTTTGCTTTGGATTTTCCATTTCGCTTAATTGCTGTGGGGAAAAAAGAACAGGGATTTGAATTTAATCTCTGAGGATTAAATACTTTATAGAAACTTGTAACTCACAATTGTCATCGTCGGAACTAGTTTCCGGAGTTCCAGTACCACCAGCACCTCCACTGTTCCCAATATTAGTACTTGCCCCCACTGTACCACCCCCAGCAACGCCTACTCCGTGCCCATTTGGACTTGGTCCGCGTGATCGTCTCCCATTACGCACCAGCTCCGAATTTCTTTCAGCCAGGACCATTTTGTCTCGAATCAACTTCACACGATTTTGTTTCTCCAGTTTTGAGCTTTTGTGTAATTGTTTCCGTATCCCAAGCAATTAAATGGGATATTTCGTTCTATAAAATATTAATAAGATAACAGGCTTAATTTTTCAAATTTCACACTTTGCATTTGCAAATTGAAATAAACTGAGAAGTCGTTTCAGCACAGAGCAAAGAAAGTGAATAAGAAGAAGCATGCAAACTATGCGACAAAAAGGCCATTCAGTGGTTTCGCCCAGTGTCATTTACCACTTTCACAGCTCACTTTTAAACAACCGTAGACCGTAAATTCTCCAAACGCGCTGAAACAAAAGCGACATCCAGTTTCCCAGCTGAGCTGTTCTTTTTTCATATTTTAAAAAATTCAGTTCTCTGCACTTTTCAACACAAATAAAGCACACAACAATTTAAAAGTTTTCAAAAATTTACCTTTTCTATTCCCCTAGTGTGACAATGTTGATTTCGCTAAGACTTGGTACGTTTGCTTAGCAATTTATTAAATACTCCTTTAGCACCTGTAATGCGTTCTACCGTGACTCTTATATTATCTTAGATCCTACAGCCTTTCAGATACTACTATCTCCGGCAATAGTAGTCAAACTATTTAAAATGCGAGAGCGTCCTAAGAAACAACTGCAACAACCTCGCTTCTTGCCACAATCACAATGAATGGGCAGGTAAATTTCTCAGCCACTGCTTTGTAAGCGCATTGCTGAATTAACAGCTCACTTTTAAAAACGACCGCAGTAAATGTGTACGTAACCCCGTTAATTAAGCAAACCTATTCCCTTTAGTAAGTAATATTTGACCAAACAAATAAAAATATTGAAGGTTTATAAAAACCAATAAGAATTTAAGTCTGTAATATATAAATAATATTGCATTTAATTCATAAATGACATATTTTGAATTTACGATATCTCTCCAGGGTGTGTTCAATGTATAATATAGTTTTGCCATTCAGCTAGGCATCACTCTCCTTGCTATGTTCAGTAAGATTATGAATTGACATTATGAATAGAGGTGTTCAACAATTAGTATAAATTTATGTAATTTATATAAATGAAATAAAATTTTAATTGGTATTAAATATTGGAAAGAAATTTCACATAAATTATTTAAGGAATTTGCACTAATACAATTCCTGAAAAATGATATATAACACATGTGTGTCCTTACAAAATAAAAAAAATTATATTAAAACGTATAAAATTTTAAATTTGCTTGAAAGGATTTTTCGCATAGAGCTCCTGAACAGGTACATCGTCAGTGCAAATGCAAATGCAAATATATGTCCGTTCGTTTAGTAAACAATATGCATATAAACCATACTAAATGGAGCAGATTTCAAACTGGAAAAATTAAATATTAATAAACAATTATATTAATAGATTTAAAGTTAGTAAAAGCAATGTTTGTATCACATATAGGTAAAATATAAATAACAGTTAAAATTAATTTCAGAAGATATTATTAGGTGTTGACGATATTTTTCCGAATATTCAATAAAACTCTAGTTTTCCCTATTAATTATCATAACATCTTTACTGAAAAAAGTGTAGAATTAAAGGTTCATAATCATATAAAACAGCTGATTGAAACAACATTACGGGCAACATTGTTACCATTTAATTATTATACCATTAAATTAAATCTACCATTTAATTTTTGTTATGGGGATGGTCCTAATTGAACCTTAATGTGTTGAACACAATGTTCGCGACAGACCGCAGCAGCACGACAGTGAACTGAAAACGGCGTTGTGAATCCTACTACTTGAACGTTTGTGAGAGGGCAGCACATAACAACGGCCGGCATGTACACAAAATAACGCAGTTGTCCATCTTGTACGTACACAATTTGGTTGTGGCCATACTAATACCTTGCAATTCAAATTGCTGTTCAAATTGAAATTTTAAGCAAAAAATAAGTAAATAGGTAAATTTATTTGTTTTAAATTACACAGTACAACAGCTAATCTGGGGGATGAGAAATTCCAAGTCAGGGTGATGGTACTAGGTCAATATAGTAAAGGGTTTGGCGTTCATATGTGTCAGTTGTTTTTTATGACCTTTTAAATTTTTTCCTTATCTTGATGTTTTTTCGCTTAGTTGTAACATTTTGGCAAAAACGTAGTTTAACATAGCTCGCGAACCACTTGTCCGATTTTGATGAAACAAATTTAGAAAAATTAAGAATTACAATTTCTATTTGATTTTATTCAGATAATAATCCCAAAAATGCTCCACAGTGTTATCAATTGTTATTATAAATGATTTAACAGAGCTGTTTTATGCTTTTATTTGTAAAATAACGTCAGGTTTGTTAGAGCTTTGAGTAATTTTACATTTTACATATTAGTTACATCACCACTCTACCTCATCTCTCTATCTTCCATTCTACTGTCAACTCTAGTGTCGTCCCACTGTCGTTGGCAAATATAAGTTAGCGAGAACGAAAACTGTCGGCCTGCAGTCGTGTAGTCGTATAATCGTGCAGCTGCCAAAATAGGTCTGTCCATAAGAACGTATGAATTTTAATATTTGATAGATGTCGTTTGCAGTTTGTCACGAGCATTGTGTTCAACACATAAGGCACAACTTTATTAGTCTTCATTCACTGACATTCGCAAATGTCAAAAATATTTTGTGATTATTTGACATTTGTAAAAGTGGTCGTAAGATGTTTGGGTTTTTATTGTGATATGAATATCAAACCAGAATTTTATTAAGTAATTATTAAAACTATTGATTAAACGTATACAGAGCGAGTTAAATTCATATTTAAGCGTCTTGCGAATTTCTGCAAGTTTTGAAGAAATGGCATCAGAAGATGAAACTCAAGGAGTACAAGAAAAATCTAAGAAACCTTCAGGTAAGTCCCTAAGAATATGAGAAATAAGAAATCGGAATGGTTTGTAGCGCTAAGCAATGACTAATTCTATTGATTACTTGGATCAATAATGACTACAACTGTACATACATATGTATGTATATATTTAAAATTTGGTTAGTATGAATTAAAAGGCTTATTCAGATGAAAATAAATTTTCTTCCACATTAGATTCGGCTTTTAAGCAGCAGCGACTTCCTGCATGGCAGCCAGTGCTAACGGCTGGCACTGTATTGCCAACATTTTTCGTAATTGGAATTCTCTTCATACCTGTAGGAGTGGCATTGCTATACTTTTCAGATGAAGTTAGCGAATTTGTTTACGACTATACCAAATGTAAAAGGACTGGATATAACATGACCTGTGCTGAATATTTGACTACTAATTACAATGGATCCTGTAATTGTGAAATTCAATTTGAACTACCAAAGCAATTTACAGTAAGTATCCAATACTCTGAATCAAATAAATGCTTCTACAATAAGGAATAAAACTAAAGAGTTACAGTACCAATTATAATTAGTTGGGATGTTGCTTCAAAATATAATAATTTTGCACGCTTAATGTTTTTGTATCACTTAATGCCAATCAAGATAGGTATCTCGCTATATATATACATATGAGCAGGATGACGAGACGAAGATATCATGTAGGCTGTTTATTTATTTAAATGTTATTATGGAAAATCCTATAATGTGCTATAAATAAGTTCCACTGTTATTTAGTTTAGGGGATCGGGATAGTAAGGGTCACCATTTGACTTCTCAATCAAAACTCCTAACTCGGTGGGAAAATAGGTGAAATCGGATTGTAACAACGACAGTAACAAAATATATCGTTTAAGTTGAAAACTTGAATTAATTTTAAAGCCAAGAGAACGGCAACTAAAAGTTGGTGAAATCTCATACTTCAGGAATGACAAGACCACATCTACTTCTTTTTTAATAAAATTTTTAATTATATTTTATCCTTTCACATAACCATATCAAAATGTTTGATATATTATTTTAATGAAGTTAAGTGGACAACTTTTCCTAAACGTAATGTGCTTTAACGCTGAATATGAATGGAATCGGTGTGCACCTTGGTCTGAATCTGTTCGACCTGTTCCGGGTTTACCAACAAAATTACATTTAGATGCGATTTAGCTTGATTTTATATCATACATTTCTCATATCAGTAAATTATGTTGACATGAAGTAAAATGTACTAATGAAACCAGTGTGTTTATGACCTAAAATACCTACATAAGTGAATATGAAATCAAACCTGATTGTAATCCATTGGCCGCAATTTTTCGGTGGAGTTGTATCGAAAATCTTTTTTGTTTTAAGAAATCAAAGCATCAGACCCATTTCAATTTGAATTTTATAGATTTATTTAAAAGCCGAAAGTCATTAACTAAATGCATGATTTAATGACTTTCAGGGAAATGTTTATATGTATTACGGCCTTAGTAATTATTATCAGAATCATCGCCGTTATGTAAAGTCTAGGGATGATGAACAGTTATTGGGCCGCTTGTCGTCAAACCCATCGTCAGATTGCATACCATTCGCTTATGTTGAAGAAAATGGTGGAGATATACCTATTGCGCCGTGCGGAGCCATCGCCAATTCGCTTTTCAACGGTTAGTAGTAGGCATGTCGTCTTTATTTTTAATAGTTGCTAAAATTTAATTTTTTTTGCATACCTAGATACCTTAACACTGAAATTCGATGGAAAAGATGTACCACTACTTAATACCGGCATTGCCTGGCCCTCCGATAAAAACATTAAATTTAAGAATCCACCAGGAAATTTAACTCTGGCACTGCAACACTTTAGTAAGCCAAAGTTTTGGCAAAAAGAACTTTGGCAACTGGACCCTAAAAACCCTGACAATAATGGATTCCAAGTTAGTTACAGTTCCTATTATAATAATAATAATATATCTACAAACATTTGCTTATAGAATGAAGATTTAATCGTTTGGATGCGCACAGCAGCTTTGCCCAGTTTTCGTAAACTTTATCGACGAGTTGACCATTCAAAACCAGGTTTTCAAAATGGTTTGAATAAGGGTTCCTATACACTTGAAATAGTTTATCGTATGTACTAAATACCAAATCGCTTAAGTGCATGTGATATGAAAATAGTATATTTATTAGAAATTTCTTTTTATCGTGGTTAGAATACCCTGTGACGTCATTTGATGGTTCTAAGAAAATGATTTTATCGACGACGTCTCTACTTGGCGGCAAAAATCCATTCCTTGGTATTGCATACATTGTTGTCGGATCCATATGTCTAGTGCTTGGTGTAGCATTGTTATTCATACATATCAAATGCAGCAAGAGGTTAGTATAAATACACAAAACCACTATATGTAGATGATGTAGACCTCTTATCCTGTCTCTTTAGTTAACATGAAAAAAAAAAACAAAAAACAAAAAAATTTCTTGGATAAAGTAAAATGCATTATTCACAACAACTTATTAAATATTCTGCATTTCAGCACTACGGAAATGATCAACGTCAATCCGCGCACACCCTATTCGTAATCGCAGCACAATTGAGCGGGCCTGAGGTCGCTGAAATGCTTATCTCAAATTAATATTGATGTATGGACGTAGTTTGAGGCTTTAAAATGCAATACATAGTTAATATAAATACTTTAAAGCTATAATTAGCATAACTGTAGAACATTCAAGTTTGCGAAATTTGTTAATATTTATTAATTTTTTTCACTTTCATTTATTTTCAAACTACATACGTATGTAGAATTTTCAAAATCTCTTTACCTAAATTATTCTTTACACGACGATTTTGTTTTTGTTTACCAATGTAGTCCTCGCTTGAAATATTTTAATAAAATAATTAACGAAATAATATTTATCTTGATTTTAATATGTCCATTATAATATAAGGATTTAAAAAAAAGTTGTACAGGTGTGAATTAAACTAGATATTTCCACTTTTCGCAAATTGACAGAGCGGGAGGAAAGCACTAATGTTTACGGCATAAAATAAAAATTTCCTAATCAAGAAGAGATAAGACGTTGCATTTGTTCGTGGAGAAAGGGGTTTGTTCGACATTGCCTTCTAAATCGAAACTAATATATTATATTATATAACGGTAATAGCGAATTTAGTTTGGATTTAAGAGACTTTTATATGTTCCCAAAACATATAACATAACCTTATATATTAGATATAGTATGGTGATTTCTCTCTCTGGGACATTGCCGCTTTGTCGATGTAAGAACTAAATCAACTTCTTGCCACTGTTTCCATTATTCCATCCTTAAATGGGTAATATGTTCCCTACTGTCTTCGTCTATAGCAACCTAGACTTTGTATAATTTTCTGGGAAATTCATATTCCCCATATTCTTCCGCTTTATAAGTAGCTTCGTATAATTCACTATATTTAGATATACATGTTTATAATAAATTTCAGAAACTTGGCTCCATGAAATAAGTATAACCTGGTCAGTTAGCCGGGCTCATTAGTACCGAATTTGGTAACGGTATTGATAAGAGTTATATGTGCTGTACATTTGCTTAACTTACATCCTTAGAAACTATAAGGGTACTATCAAGAGTACTAAAATTTTTGTGAATATATTTTCCACGAAATGCTTTTCAAGTTGCGGTAGTATATAGACCGACCATATTAGTATATATACATACATACATATGTCTGTGCTCATGCAAACTGTCACTTACCAACACGGTTATATCGGACCCTCGACTCTTGCACTCCTAACCACAGATTTTGAAGGACGCTTTGTGGCACAGCCTTTTGGCTTCGTGGCGCCACTCCGCGCTCATCCATTTGAGTGCCGCCTTGCTGTAAACATTATACCAAAGCGAATGTGCTGTGAGTATCGATTTCAAAAGAAATGCCAGTACCCCAATTTCAGAGCACGACACGAGGGGGGAGCGTCAATGGTGGAGTAACGGCAGCGGAAAAAAGGACAACGTCTACCCAAACAGGCGCAGACGCAGTAGACACCACGCTATGCATGTGCCCCAAAGTTCTACGTTAAACAGGATGAAATATTTTGTGAAAGGGTGGCGGTGCCTTCACAGAGCACAACCTTATACGCACGGTATATATACATTTACTTATATACATACATACATAAGTGGATATAAACATATAGGCATATATGCATGAGTATTTCTCGTATTGTTATTTTAATATACGCTCGTGGATTTTACGCGATGTAGTGTTTTGATTTGGACCGTGGCTACGAGCACACAGAGTGTGAAGAGCAGTAAAACAGCAGCGACAACAAACCTTCGATGCAGCATGACAAAGCGACTGAAACAATAATATTATATGAACATATATACAAATAACTAGTTCAATAGCTTGGATATTGTGTAATTACCATATTAACTAAAAGCAACAAAAACAAAAATATTATATTTGTGATATTATCAAGTGTTCAGCGTTTGTGAGTCATGTTGGTCAGTTAAGTTCTGGTAATTCTTGTATAATTAGATGGATTTATTAGTACACGGGTACGCAAAGATTCAAAACCAGAGTTAATATGTACATACTTATCATTTACTTATAGTATATACTAGTGCAGTGCATATGTGTTAATGGCAGATTATTTATTTACTAACATTAAAAACAAACAAATAGTAAATATGTACATTAAAAGCACATTTTAAAAGATGCCATGGCACGTTCTACTCCAGAAAAGTATTCATATAGTATGTACATGAAAAACAGTACTTAGTACATAGGGAAAAACAGTTGTGCTATATAATGCATATAAGTGTATGTAAATTGTGCAAGGTTGAAATGCAGATAATAAGAAGTATGTACATATATGCATATGTATATAAAAGTATGTATGTTCGGTAATATATATTATTTACATACATATGTATGTACATATATGAGGATATTGATACTCTGATACATGTATTTATATACAATATTGAAATATACAAATGCATGTACATATATTTTGGTATATAAATACATATGTATATGTACTTATTATGTATGTATGTAAATGTATGTACATAGTTCGTTATGCTTTTGTATACAAAATTTGCACGTGACCTAAAATATTTTTGTTTATTGTAAATTCACTAAACGATTATATAAGCGGTTATTGGAATCTATTACTACCATAAGGTTTTAAGTAATTTACAAAGAAATCAACTCAGATAATCTAATACATACTATATTACATAAATATATACATATACATATATCTACAAACATGGATATAAAACTTGATAGTAAACCAGCCAAACATATAGGAGCACACATGCCTACTTTTATGCGCACAGTATTGGCGAAACCTGAAGCATTTTCTCAAAACAAGGAAAACGGATATAAGCACTTTTTGCATAAAATATTAGGTTATATACTCACTTATAATAAATCCATATAATAGTTGATATTTTCTTTTCATATACCCAATGAATATTCATGAAATATATGCAAACTTGTAACGGGATCTCTCCCAAAAGCATTTGGACGCTGTTTTGCAAAACTGTTAGATAGTTTTGGTCTTCTATTGTATAAACATAAAATTAGTAGAAAATATATATGCTCCAGTTGTAGGCTTATAGGAAAATAGTAACAATCTGGAAATGTGACAAAAGTGGCTACTGTAAAAAGAAGAGAATGTTCGGTCAAAATCGAGACAAATATACATATAATATTTTCCCCTTATAAAATACTCTCAGTAAAAATTTTTTCTAGTTTTTAATTTATTTAAAATGAAATGTGTTAAACGCCTGCAGGAAGACGTAGCATAGCACAAAAACGTATTTGTTGGCATCAATTTATGGGGGCGCGTTATTTTTATATAGTACGGAATTTTTGACTACTATGAACTGTAATGAATTAATGGAAACTTCTAAAATCAGTAGAAAATAATAATATTTTATTATAAATGACTTTATGACTTAATAATAGATACAAAATTGCTTATTTTCGCTTTCCTTGTTTTAAGAAAACAAAAACTTTTTCAAAAAAGACAAAGGGTTGCTTTAGTTTTGATCAATACTGTATGTATTTTTTCTTTTATCTGGAGCATATTTTGCTCGATCATACAAAAAAAAATATTTAATGCGGTTGGCGACACACAATTAGCCAAAATTAGCATGAAATTGAAGTGAATATAAGGAAAGTAAATTCTTTGAATACAATTTTCGCGATATTAAGTTTACATTCTTTAGAGCTTTTTATATTTTACAAAAATAATATAATATTCCGTTGTCAAATGGAAGTGATTTTTGGCAGCTAAGGCATTTAGAATATTAAAAGGAAAGTTTACTCCAAATTTTGTGAAAAAATTGATTAATCGTATTTAACCCTTAAATATTCGACCACGTAAGAGGAGGGACTCTTCCTTTTCCTCACCTCATATCGCCTGTAAATAATTATTCCGTAATGTTTCTTATTTTATCCTGCGTTAGGGTGTCAATAGGCTAGCATATTATTTTTTGTTTTCCAAAATTATCTATACTGGTCTACAAGCTTTTATTATTTGTATGGCAAACATTCTGCTAAGAATCAATTGCGAATAGTTTTTTGTGAATGAAAAACCAAAAGGCTATCGGTAAAAGGTTCGTTCTTGCTCTTAAGTTCCATAGGCCGAAATAATTTATAATAATTTCTGATTACAGTTATTTTTGGTGAATCGATCATAAATAAGTAAAAACTAGTGTAATTGTTAGCATATTCATAATTTGTTTCTTAAAAGTAAAAGGTCAAAAAATATTATTTTGGACAATTATTATTTCATGATTTTATTGAAATTATAGTATAACAGCATAAGTTGCAATCAACATTATCATCTAGATGCTTACATATGTACATATGTAGTTACATATACCATATCTATGTATATCCGTTTTCTAACGAGAATAATTGTAATGTTTTGGGGGTTAAATCTAGTACTTCTTTGTATTTTTTTTTTTTCAAAGGAATATAAATATATCCATACTTTGTTAACGGTCACGTCAAATTCGAAATTTGTTTAAACCAAGTTTTCATAAGAGTCTCCCGGAAATTTCCCATCAAAGAAAGGCGATTTTATAAAAATCGTTTGGATTGTTATTTCTCGAATCACTGTAAGTCAGCTCGGACATGGAACAAGGGTTGTATTGATTGTTGTAAAATATTATTATTAACTATAAGTAAATTAATTAAGTAGAATAAATATTTAAAAAACAAGTAAGTTCTAAGCTCGGGTATAACCGAACATTTCATGTTCCTGTCATTTGCAAGGATTAAAGTCGCGACAATACCTTCAGGTACATAAAGCTTGCTAGTTATGGCTTAAAATGAAAATCACAATAATGCACCGTTATTAGAAAAACACACTCTCTCGAAGTATTACTCGTAGGTCTATAGAACTCAAGGAAATATTGACCCGATTCAAACCATATTTGATACACAGAAATACTATTGTCAGGTAAGGTTTTTCTCCAAATTTGTATTATATATCTCACACATAGACCGATATTTCCTGTAAAAAGTCAACTATAGGCTCCGGGCTCCACATATTCGGTATCAAGGGGCTTAAACAGCTTTGGTGCATTTGAAAAATTTTGGGTCA